GTGCGTGCGTGCATGTGCACACACACACACTCCGGCCCACCGCAGTGTCTGTGGGACCGTGAACCGGCCCAAGCCACAAAATCTTTGCCAACCCCTGTCCTAGAGGTATTACGGCCCTGAGCTAGTTATGTGCTTGAATCCCTCCTGCAAGATACTGACAGTCTAGGGGTGCCATTTAACTAGCAGTGTCTGTCAATGATGTTAGTCCTTTCTCTGAGCTGATATCGAATATTACTTTCCTTAGAGGACACCAGCAACACAACCTGGTGCCTCCTGCATGGCGGATGTATGGTTGACCACTCTATCTGTACTCTCCACCCCCCTTCAGTGCAAAGCACCTAAAACTTAATGGGAGGAATTCAAGATCATGCTAAGGAACACATTTTGTCAGGACAAGCATTTCAGCTCACTAGACAGAACAATCTACCCTCTCCTCCCTGTGTGTGCTGTTCCAAGGGTTCTTCTGACCTCTGCAAACCAATTTGCAGGGGCACATCAGGGGAGGAGAGGGGGAACGACCTATTACTCAACTAGAAGTCCTCGAACAGTGCTTTGGCTGACAGGACTTATTAGATGAATCCTGTCCTTCGCTTTCTGAAGCAGAACTGGAAATGGCATGGAAATCCCACAGTAACCTCCCCATCTCCCTGACACTTATAAATATCAATACTTTGAATCAACTGACAATTTGCTGCCCTTTCTTGACACCCAAAATCAACTGTCTGAGGTGGCCACAGGACACAACCAAAACGATTGTGAGGAAGAGGCAGAATCTATAGTGTGTAGGGTTCAAGCTTGGTAGGCACTTTATAGGTCAAAGCCAGCCAGTTTCCATATAGGCAGGTAAGGACATTGAATAGCTTATTGGAGTGAAGCATTTTGACATTTTTTTTAAAGACTTTGAATTTAAGAAAATTGGCATATGCCCTGAGCCCAAAGAGCAGTGCAAGTTGTGTACAAAATATATATTAATTTTGTCCATTTACTCTTGTTCAGTCCCCGCCTCTTTAAGATTCAGGCTGCAGTCCTATATAGTCTTTATTGGAAGTTAGTCCCACTGAACTCAATGCTGCTTTGTTCCAAGTAGACATGTATAGAATCACACTGCACAGGAATTGCCCTCCCCAATATATCAGCCTGCATTGCAAATATAAAATATACATTAGTTAGAATGCCCATTCGCTTTTAAACCTGTTTTCTTCTGCTTCCTCTCTTACTGAACTAATGCATGGCACACAGAAAAAGCTAAAAAAAAAAGTGCCTTTCAGTGTCTTGTGTGACTCTGGTCTGTGCGTCTTAAGAGACAATAGCCCTGTCAACTCAAAGTTTTACATTTGGAGTGATACAGGTAGGGCACAAGATCTGCAGTCCAAGTGGTAGGAGTCTCAGCTAAGTCATAGGAAATTTAGAGACTCCATGCTCATGTGAACCTGAGTTTGAATACAGGCTTAAAGTACAGCTTGCCTCCAAATGTTTACCTGGGTCTATTCCACCCTTTTGCGAAATCCCGTTTGGCCAACTCTTTCTAAGACCTCATTTCAATACCCTATGGACAACAGTTATTCACGTTATTCAAGAGGGTACAGGATGAGATACAACATTTATATCTCGCCCAGAGCCCCTTTTATAAACCTCCTACCCCAGCCTTCATTACCTGTCTCACAAGTCTGCTAAGAACTGTTAAAAAAAATGCTGCAGACATTGTCCTTTGACCCTGTCTGCTGCCTTTCCCCCACCTCCACAGTCTGCTAAGAGTTGGAGAGGGCGAACAAAGACACTTTTGTCACCCTATACAAAACACGAGGGTATAGGATAGGTAGCCAGATGTCCTATATTTTCCAAGAACTGTGTTAGGGGGAAGGGCTGTGGCTCAGTAGCAGAGTACATATGTTGCATTCAGAAGGTCCCAGGTTCGATCCCTGGCAAGTAAGGCTGAGAAAGTCTCCTGCCTGAAACTCTGGAAAGGGATTGTCAGTCAGTGCCGATTAGTGGTTCCCAACATTTCCCCCCACAGACCACTTGAAATTTGCCAAGCAAGGATCTTGGTGGATCCCTTAATGATGTTTCTGACTGCTGCAGAAATTGTAATTCCACGGAATTCAAATTGTAATACAACCAAAGACAATGCATGAAATTGGGGGGGCACTAGGGGGCGCATTGGAAGATGGCCGACAATACCATCTCTCCGACCCACACGGGATAATTAAGATGCTGTTATGGGAGTAGGTAGCCTCCCTTGTTGCCCCAAGGAAATGGGGAACACTGCCCTTGCCTGCTGTGCCCATAAATCACCCCCTAATTCGAAAGAAGGGGGTGAGGGCTCTAGGCAGAATGCTCCCGTGTGGACATCGGCTCTCCTGGATGCTGTCTCTGCACTAGTTGCAGCAATTTGGAATAATTAATTACAAAAGAAGCAAATGCACATATTTCAAGTGAAGAAGGGGAGTGAAGTCTGCTAATTTAAGTGACCTCTGCGAAAGAAGATGACGGGCTGGAGAAACAGGAATATTTTACGATGAAGATACACCAAAGGTGGGGTATGTTGACAACAGGGCTGAATGGGGGGGGGACCTTTTTTACTTTCCTTCTATGTGATTTACAAAAACCCCTCCTCATTAGAATTGTCGGTTGAACTGACCCAAGCAGGATGATTAAGGTCTGTGTGGAGATAAACTTTAACCAAAAGTATGCTTTATGGAGACCGAGAAGCAAGAAGAGCTTTTGGGAATGGCGCAGCAATTAATTCGGAGTCGCCATCTTGCCAAAGGATTTATAGCCGGGAGGAAGAACGGATTTGTTTTCAGACTGCATTCCTAGTGAATCTCCTCAGAGGTTTTGAGAAAGGAGGCAGATTGGTGAAGATTAATGACGCTAAGACTGTTTTGATGTATGGAAGTGATGTTATATGGAAAACGTCTGGATATGGCTACTGGATAAAAAAAATAATATCCACGCAGGATTACAAACTGTTCTAACCAGCTTGCGGAGACTATCAGAGGTCACAAAGAGAAAAGAAAAATATATGAAAATAACAACAAGAGATGTGGAAAAATAAGAAGAAAGGACTGGATAGTACTGTGAACATCATAAGGTTAGATTTGTGGACATTAAAACAGCAGTAAGAAGCAAGAAGTTGATTGGATCCCTTCGGACTTGAAATATGGGTACCCCCAACAAAAATTTAAAATTCGGCTGTGTAATTTGGAATTTATGTAATTTGGTTTGATTTGATGTGATTGGTCGGTTAATAAAAAATTATTCTTAAAAAAAAAAAGACAATGCATGAAATTAAAGAAGCAATAAAGATCCAATATATTCGACACAATGGACAGCTTGTCTTGTCTTCAACCACAAATGCCAAGGACCACCAGCTAAAGGTAGACCCACAGCAGTTTCCTGTTTAATTAAGCAATCTAATCTACCCCCCCCTGTGCAGTGTAGGAAATCCAGCCTCTCTGCCTAGCCTCTGCTTGAAGACCTCCAGCGATGGAGAGTCTACCATCTCCTTAAGCTATTGGTTCCATTGACAAACTGCTCATACCATCAAGAAGTGTCTCCTAGTGTTCCACCTGAATCTACCCCAGTCTGTTAGATCTAGCCCTGCCCTCTGGGATAGCAGAGAACAAGTTCTATGGGAAAGATATCTGAAGAACACTGTCATGTACCTCCCCGGTCTTCTTTTATCCAGGCTAAACATACCCAGTTCTTCCAATCTTTCCCCACAGAGCTTGTTCACCATACAGCAGACCATCTTCATTTTCCTACTCTGTTACAGTTTGCCAATGTCCTTTTTAAGCATGGTGCCTAAAACTGGATCTTGTACTCCATTGGCTGGACTATTGCAAGATAAGGTAGAGCTATTGCTTCTTGTGAACTGGAAATCACAGTTCCATTTGTGCAGCCTGAAATGGCATTAGTCATTTCTGCAGTCACATCCCATAGGTGACTCGTGACCGGCATGAGATGGACTTAAGTCCTGAGGTCCTTTTGACATATACTACTACCAAGCCATCCTATAGCAGCGCAGTTCATTTTATTTTCCTAAATGCATTTGTCTGATGAGTTTCATTTTGTTAATTTCAGTTTTCCATTCTGTCAAGGTCATTTTGAATGTTACCTCCATCTTCTGAAGTGTTAGCTATCTCTCCCGGTTCACCTGCAGATTTGACATCTCTAAGCTGGTATGATAAAAATGTTGATGAGTACCAACCTTAGGAAGGAACTTCAACAGAATTTAATTAAGCTCAACAGCCCTGAATAGCTCCACAAAACAGAACCAACCCCGGTGCTCCAGAACTCCACAGCTTCCCAGAAACGACATTTCCCAGTTTCATGTATTGCTGAATCTAATATCCTGCCATTCTGTGACAGTGTCACAGAATGATCCCCTCCAGTTCCACTGAAAATATGCACTCAGGGCTCCACTGTCACCACCTCCCGGTCCACAAAGAAAAACCCACAACTCTGTAGAACGGAGAACACGAGAACCAAACAAAACTGAAAAAAGACATGCCAGAAGCCAGATAACTCTGCAATAAGAAGGAAAGGCAGCTTGCAGAGAGAGGGAGAGACAAGAGTATGGTATGCCACAAATCCATTGCATAAACACCCCACAGCTCCCCTGAACGTCATAAGACCGGATGCCGCCCCAAGAGCATCTCAGAACACAGCCCCACAACAACTCGAGCAAACAGATGAACGCGCACAACTGTGCAAACAGATTCCCATAGCGCTATAACTAAGACCGCACAACCCCCTCCTTTTTCATATCGCCAGCATGCCTTCGCAGAGATGATTGTGCTCACGAATAAACAGCATTCTTAGCTGCGCTGGACAAAAAAGCGCGCGCGCACACACATGAAATTGAGCCAAAATAGGGGGGGAGGGGGGAGAGAGAGGGCGAGTGCAGGAGGGGTTGGGAAAGGCTGCGTGAAGGAGGGGCGGAAGGAGAAGGGGTGGGATGGGGGGAAAGTGGGAGAAGGCAGTCCTGCGCTTTCACTAGAATCAATGCGGTAGAGGATTCCTCCCCAGCATTTTCGAGGAAGTCTGAGGCAATTAGTTCAGTCAGTAGACAGCCTGCAGCCAGCCAGTCTAGGCTGCTCCCAAGGACTAGCGGAGGAACCAAGAAAGGAGAGCGGCTGCAGTAATTCCCTAGGATCTCTGCAGTTTGGGGACTTCGAAAGAGAGAGAGAAACAGTTTGGGGGAGGCTGTGTGGTTTGCGGGTGGGCGATTTTGAAATTTTGGAGGGAGGGGGAAGATAGTATTGCAACTCCCCCCCCCCCGCCACCTCTTTCCCCAAGAGGAGTTTTTGAGCGAGCGCTTGCTTGTGCGCGCGCGTTTTCCTTGGGGGTTTCGGCTTGTTTGCTTGTTCCATATTTTCCCCCCCGTCGGTGGAGCGATGGGCTTCGAGCTGGACCGCTTCAGCGGCGAGGTGGACCCGGACCTGAAGTGCAACCTGTGCAACAAAGTGCTGGAGGACCCTCTGACCACCCCTTGCGGCCACGTGTTCTGCGCCGGCTGCGTGCTGCCGTGGGTGGTGCAGCAAGGCAGCTGCCCGGTGAAGTGCCGCCGCATGTCGGCCAAGGAGCTCAACCACGTCCTGCCCTTGAAGAGCCTCATCCTCAAGCTGGACATCAAGTGCGCCAACCGGGCGCGCGGCTGCGGCGCCGTGGTCAAGCTGCAGCACCTGGCCGAGCACGCCGAGGCGTGCGGCTACTCGGCGGCCCGCTGCCGCCACCGGGGCTGCGCCGAGGTGCTCAACGCGCGCGACGTGGAGGCGCACATGCGCGAGGCCTGCGCGGCCCGCCCGGCCGGCTCCTGCGAGCGCGGCTGCGGCTTGGCGCTCACGCACGGCGAGCGCCAGGCCGGCTCGCACTGCTGCCTGCAGGCGCTCAAGGCGCACGGCGCCGCCCTGCAGGCGCAGCTGGCCGGCCTGGAGAAGGAGCTCAAGAAGGAGGCGCTGCGCGCCGGCAAGCGGGAAAAGGCGCTCCTGGCGCAGCTCTCGGCCGCCCAGCTCGAGCTCCAGGTGACGGCGCTGCGCTACCAGAAGAAGTTCACCGAGTACAGCGCCCGGCTCGACTCCCTCAGCCGCAGCCTCGCCGCCTCGACGCCCAACAAGGTGAATCCGCACGGAGGCCCGCCTTGGCCCCAGCATCGCCCTTCCTGCCTGCTCCCCGCCCCCCGCCAGCCACTCGCCCTCCATCCTCTCTCAGGCGCAGCAAAGAATCCCGCGGCATCCTGAACAGGCTGCGCCGGTTTCTTTGGGGCAGACCTCCCCCTGCGCTTCGGTGGCTGAAGCGCCCTCTCGCGCCTCTGAGGAAGCAAGTGGCCCCGGCAGGCTCCCCTCTCTCGCACGCACCCCGGATGGGACAGCTGCATGTTCCTGCATTGCAGGGAGTTGGACTGGGTGATTCTCAGGGTCCCTTACGTGATTCAGATGCGTTAGTCTGGAAATGAGCTGGGATAGTCGTGGCTTCCAGCTCCGCGTTGGGCAAAAAAGATGATTGCGTCGCGGGGGGATTGGGCTAGAATGACCCCCCTTGGTCCCTTCCAACCCAGTCAAAACTTTGGCATCCCACAGAGGGGCAAAACACAGAAGGGTAAATTACCAGCAACAATAATTAGGGGTCTTGTGACATCTTGATTTTATGTTTTAAGTTGCCACAAGCCCCCTGGTTGCTGTTGTTGCTGGTAGTCATCCTTCTGCCCCCCCCCCCATTGCCACAGTTTTTGGGTCACAGGACCCAGCGTTTGCGCAGTAATGCAAGGAATCATGCTTCTAGTTTTGACCCTTTTAAATAATTCCATAAACAGAATGCTGCAGGGTGCGTTTGCATCCTCCCTTCTTTACACCTCCCATATTCAGACCCCTGGTAAGGCAGTTCCAGGACCCCTACGGGATCTCTGAGAATGTGTCATTCATCACATTCAGGCGAAAGCTAGAGATTTGGCACTGATGTTTTAGTGAGAGTAAATACCCCTTTGGAACAAGCACAACAAAAGGAGAAGCAGCTCCCGGTCCCAAGTGCCAGACTTTTGGCATCCTGTGGTGAAAGTTGTGTTTGTGTGTGTGTGTGTAGATAGGTTCCGGGCAGACAGAAGGTAGGGGAGGAGACAGGATTTTTGTTGTTTATTTTCTTCTCTTTTCCTCATTAGTAAGGCTTGGGAGTCTGCTAAGTGGTCAAATCTGTCCCCCGCTTTCCCCTTTGAAATCTATTTTTTTGCCTGCCTGCCCTCCCCCCATCTCCACCTCCCTCTCTCTCCCTTTGCTTACAGACATGTCTGTCAGCTGCAGCTTCAGCCAGCTGGAAGGCTCAACATGAAGGGCAAATATTTACAGCTAAGCTGCTCACCACTAACTTGGGAGAAACAGGACCTGCCTAGGAAAGGAGGGCTACAGAGAGAGGAGGGGGAAGGAGAGTACTATCAAAACATAAGTGAACTTATACCAAGTTCCCATGTTCACTGTGCTACATTTTAAAAATGAAACAGAATTCTTCTCATAACCGTGACAACTGGCCTCTTGGGCAGTCTTTCAGGTGCTACATTGCGGGGTTTGTTTACTGCAACATCCGTGTGTGTTTAAACACTTTAGTATTTCCTCTCAAACATGGATGAGTGCTGTTTTTTCCCCTGGAAAGCGTTTTCATACTTTTCCAACGCACTCTTCCCACTCATGGCTACATTTGATAGATTTAGTGTTTGAGTCTTGTTTGCATGTTTTGGTCAGAGAGAAAGAAAAACATTAGAAGTTGTAAATTGGGAGGCACAGAAAATAAGTCTGTTGAGGAAATCCAGGTCACAATTTCTTTTCCACTCTCCCTCGCCCCTTAAAAGGGGACTTTTATGAACCCCAAATGGGTGGTTTTTTTCCTGAATTCAACGTTGATTTTGAATCTCTGTTAGTAACCAGGATCATAGAATAAGGATGCTCCCTGACCTGAAAGCTTTCTAAATGTGAATTGCTAAATAACATATTATTTCTAGAAGAGGCTTAGCTTGAGCATAAGGTCGCTAGGATCAGCCATTACAGAATATGCACAGAATTTAAAATCTTTAAAACTTGCTCTTATTTCCCAGAATAATAGAGCTCAATGCCAGTGTACTTGCAGGATAGATGCAACACTCTTCAGACTGATAGTTCTCCCACCTTTTCTTTTAAAAAAATATCTCTACAGATTTTAGAGAATGGGTTTTTGCACCTTTCATGGGCATCTTATGCCAATGGACAGCAGTTCTTTCAGTTAGAAAGTGTTTTCTGGTGTCCAACTTAAATCTCTTCTGTCTCACCTTCAGAGAGGGTGGAATTGGCTATCCATATGCATAGAAACAACCTGGGATAGCTCCGTTGGTAGAGCGTGAGACTCTTTAAGTTCATGGTCATGGGTGTGAGCCTGATGTTGGACAAAAGATTCCAATTTCAGGGGGATTGGACCAGATGAACCTCATGGCCCTTTACAACTCTACGATGCCATGATTATTATTAGCTTCTAAGCCCTATGCAGATGTTCCAAAACCAGCTGCAATCATTGTATGGGGAAGGGAGTAGGATTGCCCCCCCCAACTTCCCCTGTCCCCAACCCCAATGTATTGATTACCCCTTGAGTACAAGCCTACAAGTTGTATGCGCATATCTGTAGAAGTCCTCCTGTCTATCAGTATGTTCCTTCTGCCCTTTGTTCACATTGCTGGCCCTTATCCTATTATGCCTGTGATGCTGATAGGTAACATCACTTCTACAACCTGAGCTGGCCTTTTCTACATATTGTTGCGTTGCTGACTTCACCCTCATTCAAAGCAGATCCTGAAACGGTTCTCCTTTTATGAGATCCTGCTGCTTGGGTGACAGTGCCAAAGTGTTGCTAGTTCCTTCTGCTAGTGCTGAGGTCTGCACTCAGCCCCTACCACTGGCGCATGAATATTCATTGTTTATCCATCTGCTAATGGCTATCTTGCAGAGGTGGTATGTCCCTGCCCTTACCCCCTGTGTTACAGCAACCGTTTCAAATGTCTTCCTTGTTTGCTTGGAATAAAGACTGCACTTTACTTACATTGGTGCACACCATCACTGTAGATAAAGTTGACTCACATTGGGGTGCTGATTTCCACTGGGTTCCTGCTAGGATGCCCCTTCCTGATGTGAAACCAGTGTCTGGATACCCATGAGAGTGTGAAATGCACACAGCTTCCTTAATTTCCCTGTGCCCTAAGCACTTGAAATTTTTCAAGCCTGATTCTGCAATTCACAGTTGCTAAGGAAGCAAGCTGTGTGCATCTCATAGTATGTTTTTGTGAGTGTCCAGACATGGAGTGATCTCATCACTGGAATATGTAATGTCTGAATCAACTTTTGGTCTTTGTAACTGTTCTGTGGCATTATTAGATTACTCAACTGGGTGTTTTAGTTGCTATAAAAAAAAAAAAGCACATAGCCCCCCAGATAGTGTCTACAGTATGCAGTGCAATGTTTTCATCAGATTTATGGACACAGCTGGTTAACATGACTGTTTGTTTTCAGGCTGTCCACAAAAAGGCTGTTATGCACTTTTCAGAAAAAGGCAGCGTGTAATCTGCAGAAAGCCAAAAGGTGTCATGTCACCACAAAACTGTGGTGTAGTGCTCAATCAATTACATGTCTTTCACAGCCATTCGGGCAACTTTCCAAGATTAACAGTTTCAGCCAGAAGAAGTGCAATTACAAAATATACATCTTTGTGCGCTGGAGAATTGTGAAGGAAGACCAGCACGGGGATTGTCCTGCCACATGGCTTGCTTCGCTGGCGTGTGTATGGGGAGGGAATGGCTTGCTTCCAGTATTTTGATCCCTGGATTATTTAATCAGACAGCGATGTCAACATAGTTGTGTGCTGCAAAGGGCAAAGGATATAAGCAAGTGGCCAGGCATGCACACTGGGCTCAGGGATTTTGTAGATTCCAAAATATTCAGGCTAGCTGTAGCACCTAATATAAAACAGTGTCATTCAATAGATTCAACCGCTATGGTCTTGTGACATCAAAACCCAACTTGGGAATTTGTATTGGGAGAATTTTGCGAACATCTTAATGTCCTTAGGTTCTTATCTCTAATCAGATGCCTAAATCCTACAGATGATTTGGAGCTTCCACTTCCAGCAACTGTGGTTTCCTGCCCAAGACAAGCAGGACAAGACCATTTTACTGCTGCTTTGAAAACCTTTATACCAAATAGTTAGTTCAAGGCTTACTGAAAAGAGGCACATCTATAGTGCCATGCAATCGTGCTTTCTCGCTTTGTCTTAAGGCAGCCCTGTTCAGGGAAGTTTTTAATCTGTGATATTTTACTGTATTTTTGGTTTCTATGGAAGCCGCCCAGAGTGGCTGGGGAAACCCAGCCAGATGGGCGTGGTACAAATAATAAATTATTATTATTATTATTATCTAAGACCAACAACTTGTACATTCTGCCATTTAATATCTAGCAGTGAGAAATATTAGTCATACAATACATGGCTGTCCTGGCATGATTGGCGGTTCCAGTGCCATGCTATATGCTAAGCCGTTGTGCTGGTACTGCAGTCATGTTTCTCCGTCTTGGGCACAGCATGACTTCTAGGGTTGAGCCACTTTGTTATTTCAGCTTTTAGTCTGTGTTAACGGTTTCTGGTACCATGTTCACATGTCCCTTTTTTTTATTATCTAGAAGTATTTCTGCCTGTGCCGTCAGTGCAAAGAAACCCTCGCAAATTGATTTTTAGGGAGATGGTAGAACCAATGATATGAGGTACTTGGAGGAGGGAGTGCTAAGTGGACTTGGCACGTGACGTGACGAGTGAATTTTAAGGAACAACAGAATCTAGAGGGTTCTTTGATTCATATATCTTTCAGGCACATCTAGCCAGGGGAAAAGTCTGATAGCTGAGGTGTTCCAAACTATTCTAAGTCTGCAATTCAATGACATGGAAGCAGTCTCCATTTAACTCAGTGGAGGTTACTTCAGGATTGCATTCTAAGGGCAGTATACTTACCATTTAATTGGATCCCAACCATTTAATTGGAAGCAGAACTTTCCCACTTTCTGTGTACAGTAGGCCCTCTGGATACGAACTTAATTCATTCCGAGGGTCCGTCCGCAACCTGAAAAGTCTGTATCCAGACTTTTCTGCGCATGCGTGTGTGGTGAAACCCGGAAGTATAAACTTCCAGGTTTGCCACACTAGCAAGCTGAAGTTTACGTATCTGGAAGGATACGTAAGTAGAGGTACAACTGTACTTAAATGGTGCTTCCCCTGCCCCTCCCACTTCCTAAACAGCTATTACTTGCAACTGGTAAATTACCCAGAAACCTTCTGTGACTCAGTGGTGAAACTGAACCTATTGTTTGAGAATCAGTTTGCTAACCTATTCTAATGGGATTGGCTGAGAAATGAGCAAAGTTACGTTTTTACTCAAGAAGTAAGAACACTCCCAGTGTTCAGAATCAAATGTAGAAGCTCCAAAATATTCTAGCTCCAAAATATTCAGCTGGGATCTGAAGCAATTTCCAGAATTATGTTTAAGAGCTTGACTCAGCTGTGGGTAAGCAGCATGCCAGAACAATCAGATTTTTTGTAGAATCAGATGATCTGAGCTGGGTGGGGTTAAGCATGACCATTTGCAATAAAATGCTTTAAAATAATAATAATAATTTAGAGTGACAGTGGTAAGTTGTAAAGGAGGCGACTTTTTTAAGAGCTGTTATTTAAAATGGCATTGATATCAAGATGTGAATTTCAAAAGGGCTGTTGGAGCAACAAGTTGTTAGTCCCTTGTGTCGTGGTGCTTTAGAAGCACATCTGCTAGAATTATCACCCAGTTTCCTCCCTTGCATTACTGTGCTAAAATGCAAACAGCGGATCAGCTATGGATGTGCATGGCAAGCTAGCAGAAATCTTTTTAAATGCTTAGGAAGTTTGTTTGTTTTTAACTGCCAAATATTGTGATGATTTTTATTTTTATTTTTTAAACTAGCTGGTTGATGCATTGCAGATCTTTCTATTTCTCACTCATCCCCACCATTCTTCTTTTGCTGAGAAACAATCCAAATCAAGAATAGTAATGGAAACCTTTTTTCTTCAAACTTTAATTACAGCTACCATCCTGAGTGCAGTCACAGGGTTTTGTGACAATAACATTCTTATGTTTCCATTTCTGAACTTATTAGACCTTAAAAGTGGCCTCGCAGGACTGGAAGTTTTTGCCTTGAAATATTATCTGCCGTCTGGGCCAGGGGGTTTCCGGGAAAACAGTTTCACCTTTTACTCCACTGCTCTCCTTTTAGAAGAGTTGAGCATGCTAGAAAGCCAGTTAAAGGCAACAAGAGAAAAGAAAAGAGCCGGGTATTTCTTGAGGCTGATTTTTGATGCACAATCCTGTATATGCCCACTCAGAAGTCTTAAGTCTCATTTAGTTCAACTGGGCTTACTACAAGGTACAGTAAACTCGAAACCTATGTGGGGTTGTGTTCCAGGGATAGAGCACAAAGCCCAAATCTTGTATAGTCCAAACTCATTCGATGCAATGGTGGTTGGGATTGCCAAAATCTTATTTCCTGGATGCCTGACCCCTTTCTATTTTGTAAAAAAAAAAATAATTTAAAAAAATTGTCAAGTGTGTAAAGCTGAATGTGCACAAGTTAAAAGTGCATAAGTTGTGGGTCTACTGTCAATGGCTACAGGATTTCAGCTTCAGTGTTACAAATGAGACACAAATCAATCCGTTATGGGGGAAGGAATATGATTGAAATAAGTGAGACTTGCTTCTAAGTAAATAGGATTTGGGGGTAAGAATACGCTGTGCCTTGCTCTACCACTAAACAACATTATAGTCCCAAGTATAAACTGCTGTGCAGTTTTACAAGTTAATTTGGATCTCTAGATTTCTGTAATTTATACCAGCTGATACTAGCTCTGGGCTTTTTTCTTTCATAGGAGTGACAGGAAAATATATGATGGCTTGAGCAACTCAGCAGAATGTTTCTCAATGTTAATATAGTTTGACTGACAGCTTCACACTGAAATGCCAAAACGGTGGAGGGGGTGGGGAGCCAAGCTTAAAACATCTGCATTGCGTTATTAGGCAACAATTGTAATTTATGCCATTAATTGGATATGGAAACCAGACATGTTAAATAACTTCCTCAAATTCGTGTGTTTGTTTATAACATTTTCATCTTTATAGAATCATAGAATTGTGGATTCTGAAGGGACCATGAGGGTCATCTAGATCAATCCCCTGCAATGCCAAAACTTTTGCCCAATGTAGGGCTCAAACCCACAACCCTGAGATTAAGAGCCTCATGCACTGCCAACGTGAGCTATGGTGTTTGGGATGATGCAAGGTGGCACTGTGGGTAAAACCTCAGTGCCTAGGACTTGCCAGTCGTATGGTCGGCGGTTCGAATCCCTGCGGCGGGGTGAGCTCCTGTCTTTCGGTCCCAGCTCCTGCGTACCTAGCAGTTCGAAAGCACCCCTAAGTGCAAGTAGATAAATAGGTACCGCTTTATAGCGGGAAGGTAAACGGCGTTTCCGTGTGCTGTGCTGGTGCCGGCTCGCCAGAGCAGCTTCGTCATGCTGGCCACGTGACCCGGAAGTGTCACCGGACAGCGCTGGCCCCCGGCCTCTTAAGTGAGATGTGCGCACAACCCTAGAGTCGGACACGACTGGCCCATACGGGCAGGGGTACCTTTACCTTTTTACCTTTAAGGTTCATGTGGCTGCCTTTTTCCTGTTTGTTTTTTTCCTAGCAGGGAGGTTGCAGAGGCTGCTGATGTTCGCCTGATTATCATCACCCCAGATTAAATTTTAAGATGGCTCAGACTGAAAATTTAAATAATCAAATTAAATATTTTGAATGGCTTTCAATCATAATTCTTCATTAATAATAATAATAATAATAATAATAATAATACAGTGGTGCTTTACACCACTATATACATAATACTTTACAAAGAACAGATATGGTTGGCTCCTGTGAGACAGCATTTTAAAAAATTAAGACCTTTACAAGTTGTAATATTTATGTTAAAAATGCACACTGCTTTAGTCCAAAACAATGTTTAACTCATGGTGAAATTGGAAATGGCTAAGTTGTGAAGGTTCATGGTTGCCACAATCAACCAGGCAGTTATCTGGGTGTGTGATTGTCCATATCAAATGCTAAAGATATCCACTTGCCATCATCTGTACATAATAATAGTGTTGGTGGGGAGACAGCCCATTGAGAACTGAGCGTTCATAATGATAATTGAGTATCAGCTGCAAAAGAATAAAGGAAAACTGGGTTGAGCGGAGTGAATTAGCTTTCTTATAGTAGAAGTATAATCACTTACCGTAAATTTCGCTCCATAACACGCAGTTTTTTCCTCCTAGAAAGTAAGGGGAAATGTCTGTGCGTGTTATGGAGCGAATGCCTACAGATGGCGGGGGAATCTGCTGCTGTCGTGAGCAGTCAGTGGCTCGCTTTGAAACAGCAAAGCGGGTGTAAGCGGCTCCTGTCAGCTAGCGGAGCCGGGGAGGAGGGAGAGAAGCAGAGTGGGAGTTGGCTGCTTTAAAACAACCCCTGCTCTCTGTCCCTGCCTGCAGTTTTTTGCTGTCCGATTTTGGATTAGCCACTGTAGGGGCTGTGTGTGTGTGTGTGCTTGAGCTATCGTTCTCCTCCTCCTGCTTCCCCTTCACTCTCCCAGCGCCCCTGCGACTTTAGAATTGACACTCTGTGTGTGTGTGTGGGCTCCTTCTCCTTCTCTTGCTTCCGTTCACTCTCCCTGCGCCCCTGCGACTTTAGAATTGACACTGTGTGTGTGTGTGTGTGTGTGTGAGGGCTCCTTCTCTTGCTTCCCGTTCACTCTCCCTGCGCCCCTGCGCTCTCCCTGCGCCCCTGCGACTTTAGAATTGACAGTCTGTGTGTGTGTGAGGGCTCCTTCTCCTTCTCTTGCTTCCCGTTCACTCCCCCAGCGCCCCTGCGACTTCCAGTGACTTTAGGACCAGTTCTCTCTCTCTCTCTCTCTCTCTCTCTCTCTCTGTGTGTGTGTTTTGACCTCACTGCGCTTGTTGGGGGAGAGTGTTGGTTGCAATTTTTCTTGATTTGTCTCAGAGTGGTTACTATCGTGGGTTCCTTGCCAGGGAGGAGGGAGAGAAGCAGAGCCTGCTTGTTTTAAAGGAGCAAAGCCGGAGAGGAGCCTCTCCTGCATTATTAGCAGCATCCTTCTCCACACCCCCCACACGTGCTCCTTGTCCCTTGAGTGCTTTTCCTTCCCTCCCCACTTAAAACGTGGTTACAAAGCACGAATCCACATGGATCCTTAGGATTTTCTCACTGGGTCACCCCAAATTCACCATCAGATCACATAGCATGTCCATGGCTACAGCCTGCACCAAAAAAACGCACACCCACTGTTTCATGGGGCTGCAATGGCGCAAAAACGTGGTTACAAAGCATGGATCCACATGGATCCTCAGGATTTTTGCATTGGGCTACCCCAAACTCACCGTCAAATCACATGTCTGTGGCCACAGCATGAACCACAAAAAGCATACATCCACTGTTTCGTTTAGAATATTTTTTTCTTGTTTTCCTCCTCTAAAAACTACGTGCGTGTTATGGTCAGGTGCGTGTTATAGAGCGAAAAATACGGTAGTTTAAAACAAAACATGCATTCTCTCTTTGGTATGCAGCAATGATTGGCTTTACTTCTTTATTGTTTTCATTAAATCCCACTATAGGGTCAAAAGCACCCAGGCAATCATGGCATTTACCGTTGTGGTTAAATAAGAACCAGGGAGCTTGCTCTTCCAGGGGTTTGAAGGATGCATGACTTCTTCAAGCACCCAAATAGTTGGAACGTACAAACTACACATGGCTTGATTCAAAGCCAGTTGAGGGGGACATCATTGTTCTCCATGGTTCCAAAGAGCTTTAAGACTAGGCTGCTATGAATAATAGTTGGTGTTTTATTTTAAAAAAATATATCCCTGGCTGGAGCCTTTGGGCATTGGAGTTCAACATCATTTGAAGGGTTAACAGGTCCGTCTGCCCCCCATATTCAAAGCACAGGTGGACCAGAACTAAAATTTGAGTGGGGAGGGGGAATAATGCATGCAGCGAGAATTTACAGTCGGGAAAATACAATGGGAAGCAGGCTTTGGGGAAGCCATAGAGCCTGATGATATAGTTCTGCTCATTCTAAAAGAAACTTATATTTCATTGTATCAACATTTTTATATTTATTTAAAAACAGAGGTCAAAGTTACTGAGCTGCACCAGTTTATATTACCTTCTTCAGATATACAGATATCCTTTTTCATTTATTTCTTTTCATTTCTCTACTTTCTTAGTGTCATTTCATTCAAGTCAGTGAACTTTCTTTGGCACAGAAATGGGTGGAGGGATACATCAGTTCTTTGGTATTATAGGTCGGAGATTAAAAAGTACTAGAAGAATCCTCCAACTCTCCCAGGAAATAAAATGCTGCCACTTAATGAATCGGATCAATTCCCCGTCGAGCACAGTAACGCCAACCCTGAGTGGAGTGCGTCTTGAACTCTGCTCTCCAGGATCTCAAGTAGAAGTTGTTCCCAGCCCTGCTACCTGATACCCTATTAAGTGGAGCTGAAAGAGCTCAGACTTGAATCCTCATACATGCGAAGCATGCATTCTCCTTCTGAGCTATGGCCTCTCCCTTTCAGAATTGAGAAAGGGGGATGTTATGCTAGCATATGGCATTCCTATATTTGGGAACGAACTCTGCAGCAGACCAAGGCGTCTTGGTCAGGAAACTGCTTCATAGCATGCATGCATTATTATTTCTGTAACTAAATGTATTAAACATTAATGGAGAGTTTCCCCACAGAGTTTTCCTGTAGGATCCAAAATACTGTACTTACCGATGGATGCAGAACTGAGAAGGCATCTGCATACAAATGATTATTAAACTTAACTTTCTTGGTCTAAGGGGAGGGGAAGTTGTCATTACATGACCAACATTCCTACAGATGCTTTGTTAGTAATGCCATTCCACTTCCTGGAACTTTCTTTCATAGGCACACATTATTCAGTTGTAACAACTGAATGCAGTCAAACCACTGAGTTTTTTGGTGTGGTGGTTAATCTTGTAGACACTGTGGTATGAGGTGGGATATCAAGCATAGCATCTATTTCAAAGGGCCTCCGGGATTTGGTGAGGCTAATTGCCAGAATTGTGTAAAAATGGTTGTGTGCATTAGTCTTTGGTATGGAGAATGTCTACACAGTTTTTGTCTGCTATCATACTTGGTGCCTTCTTTATCAATTGCTTCCTAATTTATCTATTATTGTTTTTAAAAATCCCTTCCCACAGCCATAGAGATTTAGTGCAGGCATCCCCAACCTACGGCCCTCCAGATGTTTTGGACTACAATTCCCATCATCCCTGACCACTGGTCCTGTTAGCTACGGATCATGGGAGTTGTAGGCGAAAACATCTGGAGGGCCGCAGGTTGGGGATGCCTGATTTAGTGCAAATGTCATCTCAATAAATAAAATGCATGCAGTCAGGAAGCAGATGTGGAAGGACGGCAAGAGAGAGAACCATAAGAAGTCCTTGCATTGAGAGTATCTGTGATGGAGAACCCAGCTGTATTCACTCAATTACTGCTGAAGGTGAACCTCCATCCATGTTTATCTCAGGGAGGTGAGCTTTGCTAAGAACCATAACCAGTAACTTTCGCTTTTGTATCACCAGCACCCCAATCTACAGTGGTGCCTCGCAAGACGAAATTAATTCGTTCCGTGAGTTTTGTCGTCTTGTGATTTTTTTCGTCTTGCGAAGCACGGTGTCGGGAAAGTTTTGGAAAAGCTTCAAAAATCACCAAAGTCTTTAAAAACCTCAAAAAAGGCTACCACACCGCGTTCTATGAGTTGCTCCTCGAAGTCAAGTCGCAACTGTATTAACGGTGTTAAGAAAAGGAAACAAACTTGCAAGACGTTTCCGTCTTGCGAAGCAAGCCCATAGGGAAAATCGTCTTGCGAAGCAGCTCAAAAAACAAAAAACCCTTTTGTCTAGCGAGTTTTTTGTCTTGCGAGGCATTCATCTTGCGAGGTACCACTGTATCCAGTAAGAATTTCAGGATGATAAAAACTAGCAACAGCTTCACCTTAACATGAGCTGATTTCCTTGATCCAGTACTGAACCTTCAGGAAAACTTGATCCTCAAACGATTTTCACTGGAATCTGTGGAGAAAATACAGCTCTATGTCCTCAAGTGTTTTTATGGGTAGAAGACCTCATCAAACACCAGCTTTTAATGTCTTTTTTATGAAGAAAAGCCTTCCCTAAGCTTGCCAGTGTTCA